TCAGGGCGATCTATAGGGATGCAGTGCCTGGAACAGGAGATAAATAAACAGCAGCACTGCCCAAAAATTCCCATGCCTGCCTCTCCAGTGGGCTCTGTGCCCAAGAAGCTGCTCTCCTAGGTTCCTAGGCTACACAGGATCATTGTGATCATCTAGTCTGACCTCCCAAGCAGCGATGTGAATTGCAGGAGAACTTGTCTTTCCTTTCAGGGGGATTGTGGGAAGGCAGCGGAAGACTAGCAATCTAGGAATGGGGGGCACGGCAGGGGCTCAGGCACTGTGACACCAACACCCCCCACGTTTGCTTGGCCAGGGCTTCTTGGACATTCTGGAGAAGCAGATAAATCTGGTCGGGCAGCAGAGCGAGAGCGTGAAGTGGAGACACCAGATCGCGACGGAGCTGATGGCCATAGTGGAGAAGCTGCTGAAGACACTGGCCCTGACCCTGCCTGACAGCACGATCAGCATCGCATCCCCCAACGGCACAGGTCAGCACCTGGCCCCAGTTGGGCTTTCATCACCCGCAGCCTATGCTCCCGCCCCACTCCCCACAGTGCCCCCTGCTGGGAGACAGGACCTCTCCCCCCACAGCCAGTGCTCCCAACCCAGTCCCCACAGTGCCCCCTGCTGGGAGACGGGAACTCCCCCCTGTGACAAAGTGGGACTGTTCTTAATGTTTCCTCTGAATACTGTGTGGGTGCCTCAGTTTCTGACTGACCTCTGTCGCCTTGCAACTAATGGCCAGGCCCTTCCCCCCTGCAAGGGGATGCTAAAGGTGTGGGAGAACAAAGAGGTCAGGTGACCTGGCCCGGGAAAGGAACAAAGCAGAGGAGGAGGGGCTGGAGGTGGTTTCAGTTGGGAGCTGGCTGGGGATAGGGAGTGAGGGCAGATGTGGGTGTCTGGCTCGCGGGACCCCAGAATGGACCCGGCTGAGGGATCCAGTTCTCTGGACCTACAAGCTCTGTTTTAGACCGTGTTCCTGTCATCTAATAAACCTCTGTTTTACTGGCTGGCTGAGAGTCACGGCTGACTGCGAAGTGGGGGTGCGTACAGGACTTCTGGCTTCCCCAGGACCCCGCCTGGGCGGACTCGCTGTGGGAAGCGCACGGAGGGGCATATGCTGAATGCTCCAAGGGCAGACCCAGGAGGTGAAGCCGTGTGAGCTTCTTGCCCTGAAGACAGTCTGCTCCATGGGAGAGGAGGCTCCCCAAAGTCCTGACTGGCTTTGTGGGGAGCAGTTCCAGAGCATCGCCCGGGGACTCTGTGACACCCCCCACAGCCAGTGCTCCCACCCGGCTCCCCACAGCGCCCCCTGCTGGGAGAGGCTGGGACTGGAGTAGCTAGGAGCTCCCCCCACAGCCAGGAAAGCACCTTGCCTGGCTACAGGCTTCCTCTCCATGTCTCTGATGTGAGCCCTGGCTGGTATTGTGGTTGCAGAGCTGGGGCTGGCGGTCAGGAAGGCTGGGAACCAGAGCCAGGAGACCGTGACGCTGCAGCAGAGCAAGACGCAGATGGAATTAAAGTGGGCCGGAGCCCCAGGGCAGAAAGAAGGTATGTGGTCATCCCCTGTGCTGGGGTGTGTATAGCGATGGGCACGGCCAGGGCATTGGGAGCAGCAGCACAGCACCCCTTGGTGCCAGGCTGGGGTGTGTAGGGGGACGGGGCGTGGCCAGGGCATTGGGGGCAGCATCCCCAGCAGCACAACACCCCCTGGCACCAGTCTGCCCCAGGGCCCCTCCTGCCCCCCCATTTCATCCGTCTCCTCTGTCTCTCGCAGGCTTCACGCTGGCCGGGCTGCTGACATACCAGGGGATGAGCCCCATCCTGGACGGTGCTGGGCGAGTGGAGGCGCCCGAGTGGGATGGGATCGGCCAGACGGGGAAGTGGGCGCAGGAGCCGGGGCGGCCCAGCTACCGTGTGCTGTCTCCGGTGGTGTCGGCCTTCATCAGTGACCCGAACCCCCAGGCACTCGGCCTCTCTGTCAGCATCCGCTTCAGCCACCCGGTGCCGGTGAGCCCCTGGGCTGGGCATGGAGGGGGGAGAGCCTGGGGCACTGGGGGCAGAGCTGGGCCCATCTCCAGTAACACCCCCCACCCTGGGCAGCAGGCAAATCCACCTCCCACCCCGGGACAAACTGATGTTCTGTGCCCTCAGCCCAGCCGCTCGTACCCCCCCCGACCTGCACTCTCGGGGCCTGGGGAGTCCTGCCCCCTGTGCGGCCCCAGCCAGCCCCCCACCCCGCTCCTGCCCCCCATGCCCCAAGCGTCTCTCTGTCCCCAGGAGAACAAGACTGACCTGCGCCTCCTCTGCGCCTACTGGAAGCCTGACAGGCGCTGGGCCACCGACGGCTGCACCCTGCAGAAGTTGAACGCCACCATCACCCGCTGCCAGTGCAACCACCTGACCAGCTTCGCTGTGCTCATGGCCTTCTACGAGCTGGAGGTAGGCACGGCCCTCGCTGGGGCCTCGGGGCTGATCTGGTTCTGCTCTTCCCCTCAATCCTCCCCAGCGGAGCAGGAGTCACTCCAGATTCCCCCCGAAGTAAACCCATTCCCCACCGGCAGGCAGGGCCCTGGATCTGATCAGGGGCACAATCAGCCCCCGCATCCCCAAGGGCACAGGGAGACTCCCCACGTAGCAGCGACCGACGTGCCTGCATGCCTGGCCAGGCAGCAGGGGCAGGGGGCTCACCCCATTGCATTGCAGGGCAGGGAGCGTCCCCATCCCCATCACACAGAGCCAGAGAGGGGTTAAATGCCTCACTCAAGGAGACACAGGGAGGTGACATCAGAGCTGGGAATTGAACCCAGGAGTCCTGACCCCCAGACCCCCTGCTCTGACCCCAGAC